GTCGGCCTTGCGTTATCCGGGAAGGCCCGGGCGGGGGAAGCGCGCTGCCTTCTCGCCCCCCGCTTCTCCTTCCTCGGCGCGGCGCTGCCCGGGGCTTTCTGCTCCCCGTGTGCCCGACCGAGGCCGATAAAAACGCTGCGGAGGTGCAGGAGGTGACGGCCCTGACGCGGTGAGGGACCCCTCGGCCCCCGGTTCCGCAGAAGTGGTTGCTGTTTTCCACAGTGAATCAGCTGCTGAAAAGGCGGGTTCGGGTCCAGGCTGGTTCTGCTGCTTAAGCTTGCTTTGGGCTGTCAGTCTGCGCTGGCTGTCCATTTGTCCTTAGGACAAGAGGGGTACTGTATTTTCTCCTTCTTTTTTATTTATTTTACTCCTGCTGTCTTTCAGGTGCTAAACGATATTACTCGTTTGCTAGGGATAGCTTTCCACCTTGGATATCACAAGTGCTGGTCAGCCTCTGGAGCGGCCCTGGCTGGGGTTTAGGTGTTAGCCACGACCTGCCTGGGCTGGGGGTTGTCCCTGGAAGGTGAGATTCCCCCCTGCTCCCCGTCAGAAAAGAGATGAGAACAGGTGTGGGTCCTGTCTGTGCTGGGGCCACATCTGGCACAAGGTGAGGGGGGAAGAGGGCCACTCTTTCCAGTGGCAGTCACCATTGTGCCGGAGCAGGTGAATTATCGATCTGTGCACAGAGGGTGTTTTCACCCTCATTTTAAACAGATCTGAGTGGGCCGCTGTGGGAACAAGCAGGCCTTCGTTCCTCTTCCTGGCATCTCTCTTGGGCAGCTGCGCAGTGAGCAGGATCCAGGAGCTGACCTCTGAAGAAAATTGCCCAAACTCTCACTTTCCTCTCTCTCCTTCCCCAGAGAGCGGAAGGGACAGGGAAGGCACAGCTGTGGGTAGGTAGATCTGCCCTTCTCGGTGCCAGACTGGCTTGTGTGCCCTGCTAAAGGGAATGCACAGCCGCAGCCTCAGACTGTGGTTCCTCCAGTCAGTCTTTTCACAGCCACGCTGCCCTGAACAGCTTCTACTCTCCTTATTTTTGCACCGCTGCCTTAGTTTTGCTGGTGCTGCTCCTTTTGTGGGGCTGTGCAATCAGGAGCACAATTAACACTAGAAACAAAACAGTAAAAAAACAGAGATGATTGTCTTTCTGTAGAACCACGTCCTGGGTTCAGAAGTGATCAAAGAAAATGCTTCAAAAGAGTCTTTAAAAAAGGTCTCTTCCCCCAGTCTTCAGGCATCACTTTGTAGTGTACTTGGTAAGAGAGTGCTAGAAGGATGCCGTGTTTTGTTTTAGTTAGTACAGTGCCTGATACAATCTTCTGGATGAGTTAAACTTACTTTTGTAAGGGTAGCATCTCTCGTGTCGTAGCAAGTCTTCACTCTCCTTTTCCCCCTGGACAGCAGATGTGCTGCAGTTGTCCTTGCTGTTGATTCAGAGCCCTGTATTAGCCTGTACTCTGCTCTATGTTCCTGGTTGAGCCAAGGAAATTGTTTTCAAATTTCTCTTTTGGTTTCGTCAGTGTTTTTTAGCATAGATAAACTACTAGACTGAGCCCTGGAAAGAGACAACTGTATTCAAAGACAAGCAATTTGTAAATTCCCCCTGTGTGATGACGTATGCGTGGGTGAAAGGACGGCACCATATCCTGCAGTTTCACATCACCTCTGGTTCTGCAGATGAGGTTTTACAGTGAATAAGAGTGTTTCAGCTCCATCATGAGTCTGTGTACCAAACCCACAATTTTTAAAATAGAACACACACAAAAAATCCCTCATTTATATTTAGGGTCAACTTTTTATACAGAAAAGACTTGAGGTGGTTCCTTTCAGTTCTGTTTTCTCTTTGTGGTTAACTTGATGATGTGGAGTACATGGGAAAGGCTCCCCTCTACCCCATTTTCTGTTTCTCTGAAAGTTGGTTTGTTGAAATATGGAATTTTGATGATTTCTTCATAACGTTACGTGGTTTCTGACTGTTGTGTGCGTACAGTTGTGTTGTACTTGGGGAGTCACTTCAGCTATTTTTAATTGCTGATGGGTAGAAGCTGCTGCTTCAGTAGATGGTTGCTGTGCCATTGTTACTGTTGGCTGGAGCAAAATACTGATTTATTTGAAAATTATAAAACACTAAATAAGTTCTAAAATTTCAGTATTGGATTAAAAGATCAAACAGTGTAGATATATTGCAAATTGTGTAGGCAGTAAAAAATCTGGAGTATAGAATTAGTGGCTATCAATACATGCATAGAATTAATCTGAAGGCTCAAACCAAATAGTGCTGGTGATGCAGATCGATTTTACTCCCTCAGCAGCACCGGGAAGGGGCTGCCTGAAGAGCGCCTGGTCAATCCATAAGCGTAACATTCGGCTACGTAGAGTGAGGATGCAGTTTAACTTGCAGTTTTCATACTCTTTGCCAGAAGATGGCTTCTTAGAATCATGTTTCTGGAAAGTGGCTTCTCAGCCACTGTACTGGCTTCTAGAAGTATAGTTGGCCAGGACTGACTAACGGAATAATAAGAAAAATATTTATCTCCTCTTGCCCTAAATTGTCGTTGTAAAATGCGTAAAATTTGCCACTGTTACCTCAGTGGGAATAATTCCAGGGAACATAATTTGTAATCAGCAGGGCTAGGTTATAGCCTTGACTTTGTTACTGCTCTGCCAGCCATGCATTTTGTTGTTTTTAAAAAAAAAGTATTTTTGGATGGTAGTCTGAATTCATGTAGCTCTGTCTTCCTTGCTCAGTTTGCCGTGTTCACTTGGCAGTAACGTAGCAGTGGGTCTCTGCTCCCAGTGTGCAGCCTGTGCCTTGAGACGTGAGTTAAGCAAAGATGCACAAAGGTGCTGCTCAGGTTCTGTAAAGATTGACTAGAATGTGCTTGAAAACCAGTATTTCTTATATTTCTTTTCTGCTTTGATTTTTTTTTTTTTTTAACACCTTCTGTGGAATATTTCCATCGTTTTTAACAGACTATGTTGGTAATCTGTGTAACTTCTGGGTGTCAAGTCTAAGCCTGGCCCACATGATCTGCTGAAAACCGCCATCCTAGGAATTCTTGCACAAATTGACTCAGATTTCTGTTGCGATGAATAGTCAGTGACAAACTAGTGGATTTTCCAGGAAACGCAACTGCAAACTGCCTGGCTTCTGCGTAAGGGTTATTCGGAAACCTTGTGAAGATCCAGTGTTTTATCATTAAGCAAATGAGTGAAATCATCTTCCTGGAATCTGTGGTCATTTGGGCTCTGGATTGTGGTAAAACCTAAAAGTTCTTCGTAACAAATTCTGGTAAAGGTCATAATCAAATTTCTTCTTGGTGTGTGGTGGTGGCAGAATGCATCAGGATGGGTCACAAGATGGTGGCTGCCTGTTGGCCCGAGGGACTTGGCGTTCCTCTGAGATGAGACCAGCCGCCTTGGTTCTGTCCTGACAGCAAGTCTGACTCCTGCAAGTAGGATTTGCAGACCAGAATGTTTTCTGTTAGGTGCAGGGATGTAGTTCACTCCGTTGCTCGTCAGTTCCTGGATCTCATGGGAGCTGCTGCTGCTAATTGTGCTGAAATGTGGTTTTGTCATGTCGACAAACTCCTACCAGGGGTTATTGTAAGACTTGATGAATTTGCATGCGTGAAGCCTCCACAGAAGAAAAGATGCCATTTGCTTCTTGTCACCCCCCTAAGCATGACTGTGAGCAGTAAGTTGGTTTCTTCCCTAAGTGACTTCAAAGGAATTAAATTTGTTCAGAAATTTCTTTTTAAAGAATGAGCTTCCTGCTGTTTCCCTTGCAGTTACTTTGACATTTGCAAGAGAAGTCTTGACCTTCTTTTACTGCTTGTGCAGAACGCAAGTGGCATGGTTGTAGAGGGCTACCTGATGTTTCTCAGTTGTGGTTCTTGGCTCATACCTGTTGAAATACACTCGATCCTTTGGTATGTCATTCTGGTGCCATGACTTTGTTGCTTTTGCTATGACTTGCACTCAGGCACTTTGCGTGTTGTAGATCATTTTTGGATAAGTTTGGGGGGTTGAGACTTTTTTCTGTTTTGTTAAAGAACTTTTAGAGTAGCGTCATTTTTTAAAACATCTTTGTCTGAAATAGAAACAACTAATCTTTAGCCCAGCTGAGAACTAAGCTGGGCATGACAGTGACTGTTGGCCATGGCAAAGCTGATGCGTATGTGATAAAGGCAATTCAGAACTGGCTGATTACAGGTATAGCAGGTACTGCAGCAGCACTGCCAGACATCTGATTTGTGGGCGTTTGGGAGAGTTAACATCCTCAGTTTCCAGCTTGTTTCCTTTCCTGTGTTCCTGTTCTGCTGAAAAAGTTGTTTCCCCTCATCTCCCGTGCCAGCTAGGGGAGGGAGCTGATGATGTTAAGATCTGTTCTCCCACCTTTTGCCTGTGTGTTTCTATTTCTAGATTTGGCTTTGGTGATTCAGCTGGGATTATGGAAAAGTGAAAGGTATCCTTGCCATTGTGGATCCTTTCAACGTATTGGCCCTGGTTGTAGCTCTTTCTTTACCTACTTGGAAGCTGTTTGTGGGAAGCAAAGGCTCCACCATAAAGAATTTCTCCCATCTTTCTTTTCACAGATCATCATGGCTTCTTCTAGCCCCATTGCTCACACCTCCTGTTCCTGTGATCACAGCCCCACCTTGTTCGCTCTGTCCAGAAGGAGCACACAGGTTCCAGTGGATCAGGAATCTGGTTCCAGAGTTTGGGATCTCCAGCTCACATGTCAAGGTGCTTTCATCCCCAGCTGAATTCTATGAACTCTTGAAGGTGAGTTGTGGGTTCCAAGTTGCGGGAATGGTTTTTGGGGGCTGGGAACTGCAGAGGTTTTGGAGAATCATAGACAAGTTGTTAGGAAGGAGCATGTGCAGGTTACTAGTCCAACCTGCAACCTGAAACAGGATTGTTGTCAACACTAGATCAGGTTAGGCAGGCTTTGTCTAGCTGAGTCTTGAAAATGGCTGAGGATGGAGGTTCTGCCTCTGGTCGAGCAGTTCCAGTGCTGCGTCATTTTAGTAGTTTACAATTTTATTCTGGTGTCAGCCCTGAACTTTCCAAAGCTCTTTGTGGCTGCTGCTCAGCTGTAACTACCAAGAAGAGTTTGGCTCTGTCATCTTTGTAACTACACTTCAAGTAGTCACAGGCTGCTGTTAGACCAGCCTCCCAGCCTCCTCTCTGCAATACAAAACAAGCACAGCTCCCTCAATCCCTCCCAAAGGTCTCTTGGGTCATTACAGTGTGAATCCTGTAATACTGTATCTCTTAGGTAAGTAGTAGGGCTAAGGTGAGAATTTCTTTGTTTAGCTCAGTTTGAGTCTTTTCACAATGTGTGTTTAAAGCAAATTCCAGTACTTCTGAAACATGATCTTAAATCGCCATGTTAAGCTGTTGGAGAAAGAGACTTGGGTGGGCCATGAAGGCAGCAGCTACCATCCCCTGCAGCATCAGTGGTGAGCACAGGGGAAAGGAGGAGAGCTCTGTAAACAAAGGTCTCTAGGTTCTAGCTAGTTCACAGGATGGGGTACAAAGGATTAAAGCAGTTGTGGAATGAAAGCTGTGATTGCCAGTACTGATACAATCCCAATGTTGTAGCTACTGCTTATTAACTGCTCTTGTATGTAATAGTTTTAAGAGCAGGGAATGTGTTCCTCAGTTTTCCAAAAAGCATTGATTTCTTCCTTGATTTCTGGATGCAACAATGGTGCTGATGTTGCTCTGTAAAGACCTGTGTGTTTTACATCTTTGCCATCGTGTGTTATCCTTGTGCCTTTCCTTCTACAAGGCGAGGGAGACGATGCTATGATTTGGCTAAAGTGATTCTCCTCAGGGGAACCACAGCTCTTCAGTGGTCTGGATCATTAGTTCCTAGTGATCACAGAGACCAAGGATGAAACTGAACTTATTTTCTGCTATTCCCAGGTGCAGATAAAAACAGCCAAGCAGCGAGTGGTGATGGCTTCACTATACCTGGGAACTGGGCTCCTTGAACAGGAGCTGGTGAGTGTGGAAAGGGTTTGGGAAGGGGAGAAAGTGAATGCAGAAAGAAAATGCCTGCCTTTGCAAAAAACATCCTGTTCCTGTGGGTACAAGAGGTGTACGTGAGCTACAATTTGTGAGCTTGTAATGACCTTAAAACTTCCATATAGGGATTCACTTTATGTGTGTTTTCTCCTCTCCTTCAGAGTGTTCTCAGGGTTCCTGGCTGCATTTGTGTACTTGGAGTACGTGGGGTGGGGGAGGGAGGAATTTGGAAGGGAGGCGCAAGGAGTTTCTGTTTTAGTCCTAGTACAGAGCCATGGAACTACTGAATTTTTCCACGGGATAATGAGCCTGGATCTTTCAGACCGTTAGAGGTTACTGGTATAGTTTTCAAAGGGTTTCTGCAGAACCATGGGATCATGGGCAATTTTTTTTTCTGGCATTTTCCTTGAACATGATTAGAGTTGTGTGTATGTAGTGTTATGTTTTGTCCTCCAAGCACAGTATGCAGATGCAGTATTAGCTCTCTGCATTTAAGACAGAGGTCAGTTTTCCTTCATGTTGTTTACCTTATCTGTTTCCTGTTCTTCCGTCTAGAAACAAAAGCATTACCTAAGACCTTTAGGGAAGCCTGACCTTGGCCAATTTCTTATGTTAGAATGCAAATTCCACAGCAGGGTAAAGGTGGAGAGTCCTGCACAGGGTTTTATGCCTGGCTTTGTCTGGACTTGTACACAAGATTTGAATTTGCATGTGACAAACAGCCTTGTAGTTAAGGAATAAAACTGCTTCTGCATTGTTGTGAACTACCAAGGTTTCTTTTTGGTAATGCAAATCTGTGATTTGTGAATGATGTTGGGACTTTTTCTGCTAATATTAATTGTTCTTTAGAGGCTTGAAGAATGTGCGCATGTAAAATCTATGCCCTTTCATGTATTGCTTTAGGCTGATAGAGTAGGATGCCAGTCTGACAGATGCAAAGTCTAAACTAGCAGTGTTTTGCATGATTAGGAAAGACTCATACCAGGGTGTGGAAGCTTTCACGACCACCAGCCTCCTGGCTGCTGAATGCTTTCCTTATAAAGCTTTATTTGCTTTCTGTAATGAGTAGAGAAATCTCTCTCTGCAGGTTGATTGCTTAGAAGAAACACTGGAGAAATCACTGCAAGCAAAAGGATCGTCTAACCTCAAAGTTTCCATTCTTCTTGACTACACCAGGGGATCTCGGGGTAGATATTATGATGCTTTGCTTTCTTCAAAGGCTTATTTTACAGTTAGGCTGGATAAACTGTTTTTTCAGGGAGAGGCTGTCTTAACCAATTGGACCTACTTGCTTAAATCATATACCTTTCAAAACTGGCCTTTTGTATACCAGTAACTACTTGTTCCCAGAAAATGTTCAAGCTGAGCAGCTTTTCTTCTGAAAATAGGTGGTAGGAGTGAGAAGGGCCAAACTCTGCTCTGTGCAACTTGTGCTTTCTTGTGTAGTTCATCTGTCAGTGCATTTGCCCTTATCCATCATGCTCTTGTATTTTCATTTTGAAAGGAAAGTGGGAATTGTTGGAAGTAGCAGTAGACTTAAGCAGAAACCTTTGTGGTGACTGTAGTATGTTACTAGTGCTAGGTGTGGCTTGATTAAGAAGCTTGAATGGTGTCAGACCTGCTCAGTGACTGTTTCCAAGGCCCGTTCATCAAAGAACTTACAGTTCTGGATGTCGATTTCGATATTGACATAGTGCAAATGAAGGCAATTTAGAAAAAAGAAAAAAGGAGAACACATCAAGTGCCAGCAGATGCGATGCCTGCTCATTCTGTAACCAGCTTCTAGCTGAGGAGCTGTGGTGCCATGCCGTGATGTATCCCCTGTCTGGTGTGATCCTGAGTGTGAAACTCCCCTTGTCTCCCAGGCAGGAAGAATTCTCGAACGATGCTAATTCCATTGCTGCAGCGATTTCCTGAGCAAGTCCGTGTGTCCCTCTTCCACACCCCAAACCTGCGTGGACTTCTCAGGCTCCTGATTCCAGAGCGTTTTAATGAGACCATTGGACTGCAGCACATCAAGGTCTATCTCTTTGATGACAATGTGATCCTGAGCGGGTGAGTCCTGCCTCTTTAGGCCCTTATATGGTTCATTTAGCTGAGGTTTTGAGGCAAGGTATGCATGCTACCAATGTTGTCTGAACTTCATTATTTGCATCTGGTCTTTCTATAGTGAGTGATCATATCAACGCTCCTCTGAGATGGAAGAGTAACCACAGCTCTTCCACGTGAGATTCTCATACGAAAGAGAGAGCCTTTCTCAAAAGGAAAAAAGAAACATTTCTCGAGATTCAAAAGGAAATGGCCAATTTGTACTTTAGTCCAGTTGTATGCAGAGTGAGATCTGTAACCTAGGCTGGGGTGTTCAGGATCATATGCCTATGCTCTGTTCTGGAGCTCAACTCTTCTTTTTCTCTCCTAGCGCAAACCTGAGTGATTTGTACTTCACCAATCGTCAGGACCGCTATGTTCTCCTGCAGGATTCTCCTGAGATTGCAGACTTCTTCACGGAGCTAGTGGATGCGATTGGAGATGTGTCTCTGCAATTACAGCGAGATGATACAGTCCAGATGATGGAGGGGATGGTGCACCCGTACCAAGGTAGGAGGGAGTTGTCTTCTCTGGTTGGATGATACGATCCAGAGGAGGAGAGTGACAGCCGGGGTTTAAGGATGACTTCAACTCCATCCATTTTTGAATTGCTGAGTGTCTGACCATTGTGTACAGACTGCGGGGTGTCCCATATCTGTGCCATCCATTATTAAAATCAAGATTGCTAGAGTTTTGAGACTGGATCTATCAGAGTGTTCTTAGCACAGTGGCTATCACCAGCTAATGTGGCAGAGAGCGCAAAGGCTAAAAGTTCCTCTGTAACTGTCTCATTGCTTCTTCATAATTCTGCTGCTCATGACCTTAAATAAGAACTTGTATTCCTTGAAAGGTTCTTTATATTTTTGATATTGATGTCTATAATTCTAGATGTTCTGTGTGTACATATTCTGAAAGTTTCATGAATGTAGAGCTCTTTCGGGTAATTAATATTTTGTAGTTGAGTCTATTCTGGGAATCAAATGAATATTGAATTAGGAAGACTGAGAACAAGTGTTGAAGTGGGCAGAGAAGAGCATCTATCAGTCAGGCTGATTGCATCATAAGTTTTTTGTCCTGGCCTTGTGCACTGCTGTGTGATGTAAGCTTAGACTGTGGGCACTGGTTTATTTTGCATGTTCCAGTTCATTCTTGGTTACCATTTTAGGTTTGCCCTGGTCTTTTCATTTTTCAGTGGATTTTTCAAGCTGCTGCTAGTCAAGTTTCTTATCGTTCTTAAAGCTGATGTTTTTCTTCTGTAATGTAGCTTTGCTAACCTTAAAAAAATCTGGTTTTGAGACTTAGGGAAGAAAATTGTGTGGTCTTTGTGTTAGCTCCTTTTTGTTCTGATATTGGTGTCCTGTCTGTAGTTTTTCCCACTACATACTAGGTGATGCGTGGCTCTGAGCTCTGTACCTTTAGGTCTCAAACGTGATCTGTTGTGGTTTTCCTGCAGGAGACAAGGTGGCTTACTGTGAGATAGCAAATCGAAGAGTCATGGAGGTGATCAACTCTGCCAGGACACGACAAGAACTTCTTCATGCAAAGACTTTCCACAGCAGCCAGCAAGGCAGCTCCTTGTTATCCCAGCAAGGCTCTCGAGCGTCTGGGGGTCTGAAAACAGAACCTGACACCTGGATTTATCCCTTAATCCAAATGAAACCTTTTGGGATTCAAATAGATGAGATGGTGACAGAGACGCTGCTGACAGAGGCTGAAAGGGATGCCAGGATATACCTTAGCACTGGCTACTTCAACCTGACACAAGCTTACATGGACCTCATTCTGGGCACTAGGGCTGAGTATCGGATTCTTCTGGCCTCACCAGAGGTGAATGGTTTTTTTGGTGCCAAAGGGGTGGCAGGTGCTATCCCTGCTGCCTATGTTTACATTGAACACCAATTTTACAGTGAGGTCTGCTACCTTCACCAACAGGAGAGGGTCCAACTGCAGGAGTACTCTAGGGCTGGGTGGACTTTCCATGCCAAAGGTAAGGTGTCTATTTCCTAAGAGGACTTGTTCAGAAGGCCTTTGAGACTTGTGCATATTTGGATTGCGCAGCTAGTGGGGGGATGGCTGGGTCTAGTCTAGACTTAACATCCAAAATACTCATCCAGGGTTCAAACGTTGCTTGCATAAACCTGGAAGATTTGGATCACTCAGGGGACAACCATGCAAAGTCACGTCTTGCATCTGGATTTCTGATTCGAATGTAATGCCAGAGATTATAAAAGAATTGTCCCTGTGGTGACAGTAAGGCACTGTCTTGATGTGCAACTTGATGTGAAAGAATAGGAGGCATCTGGATGTATTTATGATCGCAGTAACAGTTGTGATTCAGTTTCTCGTATCCCTCTTGCCAGTTTTCAGCAACAAGAAGCGATGACTGTGTCAGGGACACCAGGGTGGGATCTGCAGCAGAAGCGGGAAGGGAGCTCACTAGTGGTGACTCCCCAGTGGTCCTGGACGCAGCAGGTCTTCGTGGGGATGATGCAGGTGTCGAGGAATTTGTACCAGCTCCTGTTTACAGCATACAGGAAGGTGCAGCATGGTGAATAACTGCACCCATGTGCCTTCTGGGAGCTGGAGGGGAAGTTGCTGAGAAATGAATATTGCTTAACAAATGTAGTTAATAATAAACAAAAATAATTAATACCACCATCATGATATTCTGTAGAAGACCCCAGGTTCTTTCTTGCTTGATAGACTGTGTACAGCTTTCACAAGCTCAGTGCCACCTTGACCAAAGCATGAATATTTTCCCCTGACTGGTTGTTGCTGGTTGTCTCTCTAAATTTTCCTTCCAGAAAATGCAGTCCTTGACTCTTATGTTCTCCTACTTTATACACAGTAGTAAGTGTTTGATTGGTCAGTAGTGGATTTTAATAATGCAAATAGCTTAGGAAGTCTACTTAATTGAGGATTTTTTTTTTTTTTTTGAGGAGTCTGATGCATGTGACACTTTATATTGAGGTTCTTAAGGTCTTCCCACGTGGAGGTGCACCAGTGGAACACCTCACAAAATGACTTGGTCGCATGGTCAGACATGCCCTTGGCTGACCTGAGACATCTTTGCTGTGTTCCACAGCATCTTCTGTTACTCTAATCTTCTGCAAGCAGAGCTCTGCACCGTGTCACTGTGTCACTTCCTGTGATGGCTCACTGGTCCCCTAGGACAACTCTATTACTGTAAGCAGTACCCAGTCTGGCACTAATTAAGATGCAGGTTTCCCCAGCCGGCATTGCAGTGTGCTGAGGGGCATTTCCATTGTTTGCAGCTGGAAGGATGCAGCCCCTGGGGCTCTGGGCTCCAGCCTGTTCCGGAGTTCTCCCGTTGTTTGTTTAAGACTAGCTGTTAATGACTGTGGGAATGCCTCTATCTGCCCTGCTTCCTGCACGGCTGTTCTGAAGAAGGTTCAGAGGTGGTAGGGAAAGAAAGCTGCTGAGTAGGCCTTCTCCTGACTGAAAAAAACCATGACTGTTACTAGGCTGCTTCTATGTCGAAACTACAAACCTTTCTAACGAGTGTTGTGCCTCTCCTGCAGTGAGATCAGTAACTAGTGCAGTAAACCCCTTATCTCAATCCAGGGCAGCCTGAAGGAGGTGCCTGCCTGGCTGGGAAGTCCTGTGTGGTCTGTCTTCCAGGAAACATGTGCTGAAGTGATCTGTGGTTCTCAGGTTCCCCCTCTTGCTGGGCACTGCTGACTCCGAGTGGGATTTTGTGGTTTGGCACTGATTGAGCTAGGAAGGCATGGGCTGCTTTTCCAAGCTACCAAAGTGCACGTGGCAGTCCGTCCCTTTTTGGGCCAGCTGTGCCTTCTTGTGGAAGTGCTTTGGGCTCAGTCTTCTGTACGGTATTCCCTTTGAGAGAGGGATACAAGACTTGAGGTTCAGCAGCTCCTGTGCTTGGCAGGAGGGACAGAGATGTTTGCTGCCTTGTTGCCATTTCCTCTTTGGAGTGCTGGAAGGATCAGCTTGTAGCTCCCTTCTCTGGCACGCTCTGCCCTTTGGCACATATTTGATTCACCCGCCTTCCTTCTGCAGGAGTCACACAGCATATGCGAAAGAGGACAGGACAGGGCAGAAGAGGGAAAAGCAGGAAGCCCTGGAGACAGATGAAGGGCAGCTGCACTTGGGATCTGGCTCCTGGAAGAGGATGTGAGGTCCCTAGCAGCCAATAGTGCCCGTTAATACTTCCTTCTTGGGCTAAAGCAAAAGAGACCCCTTAGTCTCTTACAGGACCTAGCCGATTTACACCAAACGCTGTGGTGCTGTGATTGCTGTTTTGTAAACCCTTCTAGCTCCTCTTAAAATATGTCATATCCTCATACACAACTTCCAGCAGTGTGTGTTCCCACCAGGGTTACGACCGTCCTTAGGTTCTGTCAGTACAAGTGCAGTAGTAGCAGCCCAGTTCAGAGCACTGCACGGCTGTTGTTCACGTGTGAGTAGGGAATGCAAACCTTTGCAGTGAGAGAGGTTTTGCTGGGTGTAACATCATGATGCCTACCTGCAGCAGTGCACATCTACCCGTCTTCTGCTGCATTTCTGGGTGTGGTGGTGTGGGTGACACAGGTACATCCTTTAGGAGTAGGGTCCCTTCCATGGAAGTGTTGGGTGACAGAGTGCCGGGCAGGTGCCTGTTTGCTCCGAGATAAACCTGCATTACTGCTATTGAATGGCGGCTGGGAAACTGCGCTTCCCCTTTCTGGAAAGGTGAGTCACTGTTTGAGCAGATCCTGCCAGGTGGCCATAAAGCCAGAGAGACCGTAAAGGCTTTAGGGCTGCCGCGTGACCACTTAGAAAGAGTGGGGAAGCGTGTTCCTCATAGCTGCTGCCCAGGCAGAGCTCTGGCCTACTGTTGGGAGCCTTGTGTGCAGTTGGGCCAGGGCACCACGCAGCCTGTGGCAGCCATCCTGTTTGGTGGCAGAACTTGCCGAATCTCTGTGCCACTTGGGTGCTTTTTTGCAGCTCCTGGAGCCCCCTGCGTCGGCACTCCTGCCTTTCTGTGGGTGGGGGTGAGCCTGTGGAGGAGTTGGTTGTGCCACTGAGTTATGGGCAGTGCCAGTGCTCAGCCAGGAGGTGTAACTGAAAGTGGCAGCGAAGCTGCTGACTGTGTGCGGTGTGGGGGCGGGGAGGAGGTTACAGGAACCAGCGGTGAATCGGCAGCTTCTTACTCAAGGCATTCTTGGAACTGCTCTGGGGTTGAGTTAGGAAACCTGCTTCTATTTTAAGTACTAGGTGGTTTTTATGCTACAGTTTCTTTGTTGTAGTCTTTGCGTGACTTGCAGTAGGGATAAGCCATCTATCGGGGACCTGCCCGGCGCTGTTCTAAGCACTTGTGCTGTGCCAGGTGGAAAGCAAACACTTCTTGGGTCCATTTGTACACAGAGAATGGCTGTATAGACTCTCCTTGGCAATAGTCCTTGCTCTCCTGTGGCATCACTAGCTGTTCTTTCCTGCCGTGCTACAGTGGCGTGCTTGAGAATAGTATGGGGCTTCCATCTTGCGCTTGAAAAAACTGTCCTGAGTTGTATCACACTTGCTCTTGTTGTTGCACTGGCAAAGTTGTGCGTGAACTGCAGTGGTGAGTAGACTTGGGAGTCTTGCATCCTGGCAAGAGTTTGATTTTATCTTCGGGTGGGTCCTCAGGAAGTGAGTGGGTGAGAATTTGCACTTCTCTTACAAGTCTTTATTTCATGTGAATTCACCTGTCAGAGCAGGGAGATGCCTCTTCATGTCACTGTCTTGTGTAGTCTCAGGAGAGAGGTTAGTCACTGTGCAACTGCACCAGTTCCAGTTCTGGAACTGACTGGTCCAGGCCTGGCTTGTCTTCCCGGTGCTCTGTTGCTTGGTGTAGGTTTTCCTTTACTGAAAAACTGTTTGTCTTATTTCAGTGTTTCTGAGATATGCTGTGGTGTAAAATGACCTCTAACTTAATGATAGTAACTCATTCTAGATTATTTTGGGGGTCCTTCATGCAGTGTATTTACATTCTTAAGAATGTTCCCTTAGGGCGGCACTGAGTGTGCTGCAGCCCCCCTGTTAAGAGCACACAAGTTTGGATAATGCAAGCTGTACCCCAGGATTCATACGAAGCTTTACAAGACACGCTAGACCATCTGCAAGGAAGCTTGCTTTGTGTCGTGATCTTTTATAGTTACTGTAATCTAACATATTTAATTAATTCTAAGTGAAGTGATTGTGTGAGGCTACTCTGGTTGTTTCCTTGGTCTGCCACACTTTCTTTCTTCTCCTGTTTTTCCTGCAGGTCTTTGGCTGTACCTGGCAGGAAGCGATCTTCCCTGCCTAACTCTGATTGGCTCTCCTAATTTTGGATATCGATCGGTTCATCGTGACTTGGAAGCTCAGGTTGCGATAGTGACAGAAAATAAAGCTTTGCAGCAGCAACTCCATCAGGTAAGTGGCTGATTAAGGGGAGATAACATGGATATTGTGCATCTTGGTCACACAGGGAATGCTGATGACGCGGTTGCAGTAAAAACCTACAGCTACAATAATTCAAAACCTTCTTGAGCATAGGAAGTCTCAAGGAGCTGTCAGTTAAGTGACTATTGATGAGATGCCTGCTGCAAGTGCCTGTTTCTGGGAAATGGAGGCCATAACGGGAAAGAACATGTGTCCCCAGTGAACTCGAGTATCGCAAGTGCTCAGGCACTGGATGCTGAGAGACACAGCATTCAGAGAGGATCTGCTGGCTCTCCTCTGCTCACTGATCACACAGCGCGTTCTTGGGCCTTAGACCCAATATTTGGGCATTGCCAAGGTTGCACCATGCTCTAGGATAATGAGGTCAGGCCCTTTGAATTGCTGATCTTGGACTTCTGGAGGATTTTGCTTCTCAGGCATTTGGGAAATCCTTTGTAGGAATATAAATGCCAATCAGTTAGCTTTTGGGTGGCTGCCCACAGGCTGTGGAGGTGAACAAAGGCAGGGGATCTTAGTTTCTGCAAGAGGAGGATTTCTGGGCTGGTTGGATTGCCCATGAAGTTATATGACATAATATAATCTTGAATAATAATAGGACATTATATAATCTTCACACAAACATTTTTTTCAGTGGTTTAATGTTCAGTGTCCCAGTTTTTGGTTTCGAGTTTTTTTTAATTAGGCACCTTGGACTGCTCAGGACTTTTGCTGCTTCTCTAAATCTTGGCTCGTTCTCCAGCTGTCTTGACTCTGAATCTTCTGCTGGAACTGACAGTGTCCCAAGTAAATTTCTCATGTAGCGCTCTGATAGAAAGCAAATTGGTTTGGTGCCTCTGTGTGTGACTTAGGGATCTCAAAAATGTATTCCATTAAGCCAAGTCCTGGCATAAGAAGGCACAGTTGTCTTCAAGATCAATGGGAATTGCCCTATTGCATCAGGGCTCTTCCACAGGATGAGTCAGAGTATATCTAATCAAAAACAATTCTATTACTGGAAGAGTTGCTTGAATATTTCAATTCATATCTTGCCTCTACTTGTTTCTAATGGAAGGGGAGAATCAATGAAAATATGACAAAGGAATTTTCTCAAACAGTGCTGCAGTGATCTAATTTAAAGGGCTTTAAACCATTCCCATTTGCTGGAAGCTGATTTTGAGATTGGCTGTTTGTTTACTGTTCTGTGACCTTTGTTTAGAAGAGTTAATACATTACTGGTACGCTGCCATGAAATCACTTTGCCTATGTAACATTGAGTTCCATTTAAAAAATGCGTGGTAAGATTTGGGAAGAAATTTGAGTGGTCTGGATATCTTTGGATGCTCCACTGAATGAGCTGAACTTCAATTCAGAAAATTGGTCTCAGTTCCAGTGATCAGATGACGTCACTGTATCAGATGACTATGGTGCAGAATCTTCACAGCAAGGCTGACTATAGGTCTTGGAGCATTTGGGGGTTCTAAAATTAGACTGATTTGGCACGCAAATGTCTTCCTTCTGTTGTAGGTTCATCTTTTTGGTCTTACTTTCCAGTGCTTGGTTCCTGCTTCCCTGTTCCACCCTGAATTTAAACAGTGCAGGGTATTTTCTGTTGTTTGTGACAGCTTAGCTAATGAAAAAAAGATTATGAACAGACTTAGAGTAGATGATCTGCTCCTTGTTTGCTTGCAAATCTAGAAACCTGACTGGCTTTGATAAGAAAACCGCTTCTGCCTTTGATCAAACAGCTGCTTTCACGTGCAACGTGAGCATGTATTATCATCATGATGGTTCATTTCCTCCTTCAGCAGTATACACACTGGAGAAGCCTAAGTGTTTCTGGTAATTTAGTTGAAATCATGACTGCATATTCATTTGAAAACACAGCACTTGAGTTGTGTCTAGAAAGAGCTGCGTAAGCCAGTCTCTTGAGATTATGGTAAGGTTTCCTTTTCTGGCAATTACAGCAAGGGATTTAGGATTTTTCTGAAACTGAAGTTCAGCTCTCTTGCAGCTGTGGGGCTCAAAAAAGCAAAACCTTCTGCCTTTGCTCTTTGTAGACTTTAAATTGCTAATTCTTGAGGTTGGGTTACTGAGCACACTGATAGTCATCAAAAGGTAGAGTGCTGTGGCAGGCGGATGTGAAGGACAGATCCTGTGCTAGCTCCTTGGTGGCTTAGTTACTGAGTTGTGCTGAATGGAATGAGACTCCTGTGTTCAGGCTTGTGGGAGAAATGATGCATCCTTTTGGCAGGATCTGTGGCCAGTTTTATCTGAGAATTTGCTTTTCTTAAAGGCCATTATATAATTTAACACTTAGGATTTACTTGGATGATGTTTCTTTCCCTGTATAGGAGCAGGAGCAGCTTTACCTCTGCTCAGGTGTAGTCTCATCATCAACATTTGAGCAGCCAAATCGTTACGTGAAACTGTGGGTGAAGCTGGTAACACCTCTGATCAAGAATTTCTTTTGAAAGAAGAGAAGTTGCTGCTTTGGGTGAGTTTTCTGCCATTCTTATGGGGAATTTATATTGCACTGACCGTAATTAATAAGTGTGGTACTCTCTCTGTCATGTGGAAGAAACAGATGATGGAAACATAGATAATGTGCGGAGAAAACAGACATCTCTCTTTTCTTCTGGGGTGCTTGCCACTGACTAGAATTGTTGCTCAACGCCTATATTGAATTTCATCTACTAGAATTTCTGGAAGGGCCAGTGAAAGAGAACCCATACAAGGGTATTTGCTATGCATAGAAATAAAACTTCCATTTTTGAAATGTCCGTTTCAGAGTTTTGTGGAAAGGGACTGTGTTTATTTTATCTCGACTAGCTAATAGAAAACATTGTTGGAATATTTAAAATGTTCTGTCTTCTTTTTATCTCATCAGTGCTTTGCTTTAACCTTGTAGGTGTTGGTTAACAGGGGCAGTTGGTTTTGCTTTTCTGCTTTGTACAGTGTCTTGGATTTGCCTGGCTGTTCGACTGTCCAGTAGCTGGAGCCCTTCTCAGCTTCGTGGAATTGCTCTTAGATTTTTTTTTTTTTGTGTGCTGTGCACATAGTCCATGCAGTTGGCAGCTAAGTGTGTGCCCTTGATGCTGAGTGTTCATGCATCCATTTTATTTACGTAAATGTGGCCTCCATCTCTGGGGTTGTATATCTGGCTCCTTCATGTTAAGATGTGTTACAAGTGTCTTTCATGAACTGTGGAGAGGGCATGAAAGGACTTCTGGTGCTGATGTGATTTTTAGATGTTACTTGCTGAAAGTGGGAGGCTCAAAGCGTAGCACATGTCCTGCAAAGAAGGTGGTTGGGAAGCCAGATAAAAATGTGTTAGAGTGCAGGCTTGGGCTGCCCTGTGGGTTTCACTGGTGGAGTATGTGCAATGTGTTCTGATCTTGTATTGCCAACAAAAGGGATTTCTGGCACTTGAAAAGGCTGATGGTAAGTGTAAAACTTAATGGTAATTTATTTTAAATGCTACTACTTTGTAAAGAAACAAGCAGCTCTACTTGCCTCCCCTTGTGGCTTTTCTTACCACTAGCTGTGAGGGAAGTTTTATGCAACTGTATTTTAGAACTGATTGTTCAGATATTTCATGGAGTGGGATTTTGCTGAATTATTTTGTGCTAAAAGGACAGGCATTGGCTTCCATATGGTGGCGAGAGCAGATCTAACTACCTAATAGGTGTTGCTGCTGGTACAAATTATTTGTTGTGAAAGAAAGGGTAGAGTAGATTCTATAACCTAGAAATAGAAACAAACATATTTCAGAGATTGATCTGTTTGCAGCTCAACTTTCTTTGGGTTGTATGGGTTGACGTGTTGGTGAACTGGGTCAAATCTGTGCCTTTCTTCTTCCATCTGGTCTAAACAGATACATGCTTCCATGCAGGAATGTGTCATGCACACGGCTTGATGAATTTCTGCTCACAGTTAGCACTGAGTGATCAAACAAATAGCTGTGGAAAGACAGAGAGCTATGAGAAGGAAAGGAATCTGGATAGTTGCATGCAATTGTTCCGTTTGGCTTCCTCTGGTGGTCTGGCTCTAAACCAGCACTTTATCAGAAACCACCAATTGAAAACCAGTATCCATCATGAGAAACTCCATGTATTGTAAGAGCAGTCTCCACATGACAGCAGTTCTAGCACTGTTTTTATTGATACTTTGCTAAAATAGTTCTGGTACAATCAAACTTAGAATAAGTTACACAACTTTGAGTTTTTTTGCAAGTAAAAGCATTTGCTGTTTGTTTTCCCTAGCCATTAAAGTTTAGACCTGTAAGAGCAGAGCAACAGCGGCAAGGATCCACTTAGCAGCTTTTTCTTTTGTCTTTAGGTTAAAGGTCCAGACATAGGTGGGACCTCGCATCCGTGTCTTATAGACAGGACATTCATAGACATTCTTGGTGTCCGTGCGGTCCACAGGGATGGCTCTGATGAAGATGACTGGCATCATGGGTGTCAACTCCTTCAGTCGAGCGTCTGCGATCACACCAGAAGGGATGTCCCATCGAGCACCTGCAATATTATGAAATTGTCAGGGTACCAGCTACCCAGTGGCTTTTTCACTTAGAGGGGGCTGTTTTCATAACTATTAATGGGTGGGAAGGAGTTGCTCTAGCAGCACAGTTGAGGATGGAGTATGAAAATTGGGTAGCCATGGCTTAGTAGTCATTAGGGCTAACATGTTATCATCTCACTGTGACTCATGAATGCATTTTGCCTTACTGTATGTGGGATGTCTAAATAAATTCTCTCCCTACTCATCCCTTCAGCACCAGGTTTGCATGAAAGTTGCATAGCTGAAGGTAGAACTTGACTGTGGTGGGAGCTACGATAAGCTGTCCTGTGTGGTCTGTGCTCTTGTTTAAGTGGACTCCTTTGGTGCTCTGCTGATACTGCCATCTCATTCCCTCTCATTTTTTAGCAGTAATTATTTTAGGTTCTGAGTTTCCTGATTTGTCTTGCTCACACATCAAATAAGAGCGTAATATATTTATTCACTAGAACCATCTAGCTTCAGACAGCCCAGTCCTCAGGTTCGTGATATGCAGTCTTTTTCCAAAAACCAGTTTATGCTTTGTGAGACTCTGTAAACTGGATGGGTGCTGCCCTCAGCTGGCGTGTCTGACATTAGCGTGGAATAAAGGCTCCGCTGCTTGGAGCTTTTGCAAAAGTTGTACAAATTCGAATAAGCCAGTGAATACTAACACCTGTTCTGTTTGTAAGAATTTTTAAGGCTGAACTGGGCTTTCTCTGTGTCTGAAACATCTCATAGAAGATGCAGTCTTTTACCTTCCATGAATAATCCATGCACATAGGAGCCTTCTCTGGGTGGAGCTGTTATATCCTCGCGGTTTTTCTTGGTCACTTCCACTGAAAGACACATCTTGTCCAGTGGCCATTCATTTCTTCTGGCCATGGACTGCATGATAGCGGTGAGGAAGGACTGGGGATTGAAGAATCCTGCCAGCCACACTGTTGCAGGCAGCACAAAGTCCATTGTCCAGACTTCCAGTTCCTGGAAAACAAAACCAGCAAGGTACTTCAGAGTGAAGCATGGCCTTTGAGCAGCAGAATACTACTTTGAGATATGACATGACAAAAAGCTGATGCTTCACTGTGCCTAACATGAGCTTCAGGTAATATTCCAGATGGGGAGACTAGGATGGAGGTGGTCTGTGATGAATAAATAGCAGATTTCACTGCAGCAATGAAATTTAAAACTGTTAATTTGGATTGCAGTAAATACCTATTATTTTTTTAACAAAGCCACACTTTAAGTAGATGGTTTTATTAAATATTTTTTTCTTCTGAGACATATAAAGTTATGATGGGGTTAGCTAATATTCTTTTGAAACAGTGATATACTCTAATGGTGAATTGTTTTCAAACTTCTGCTCTCATTCTTGGGGTAACAGGCCATTTCAGGTACTTCAAACTGCTTAAATTAATATTGAAAAATAAACCAGTTAACCACTGTACACTGATGGAGGTGATTCCTGGTCTTCTGTGGTATCCGCTTGCACCCTAAACTTTAACTTTCACAAGAAATCTGCTCACCCTAATCCGAAGGAGCAGGTCTGCATACCAGGCTCCTAAGCTAAGAAGAGAAGGATAGGCATAACGTGTCCAGGACTCGGGAACGTTGTCGTAGAAGAGAGCGTTTGCCAGCTCTTCCATATCCGATGTAATCGTTAGCTCTCCCTTTAAAAAAGAGAAAAGTCTGGGCAGTTTCATCTGAAGAAAGCAAGACTGATGGAAGTATTTGGTCTCAAACTCATCACGAAGCAGGAGGCTGGTACCATCTGGCTGCACCCAGCACAGTGGAATGTGTAAGAGTGTGAGCAAGGGTAGCCAAGTGCTTTGTACAAGACAAGGTTCGTGAACGAGCAACAGCCATTTGCAAATCATGGGAAATTATTTGATAGAGAGAGGTGCTTTCTAGGCAGCTACCTAATGCATACCTTTAGTCCCAAGTCCAACTCTTTCAAAGATCGCCTGATTTCATGGGTCAAGATGTTCATTCTTTCACATTCCTGGAAGGCAACTACAACATACGGGGTCTTGTCCACTGCTTTCGCCATGACCTCCACCATATTGAATGGCTCCGGCAGCTTCTCAATAATCTCGTCTAGGACTGACTTCACCTGGGAAGAATAGGCCATAGAACTGCTCTTATCTAAGAAAAAATGCTGTGGGTTAACAGTTAATTAACTTGGTAAGATTTTTCTTTTTCTGCCTTTGTGTTTTGCTGTGCCTCCTCCCCTGTTACTGATACTCTGTTATTTCACTTACTGCTCTTGTATCTTAAAAAGCTGCAGCTCTTTTTCGATAGCCAAGAACTGAAGCCATGGAGGCTGTGAAATTCAAGTGTAAAATCCAGGGAGTCAGGAGGAAGACTTTTTTTTTTTTTTTTTTTTTTTTAAAAGCATGTGTTTTTAGTAGTTGCCATTATGAATGGAAGTTAATAAGCCTGCTCCATCTGCTGAGGGCGCAGCATGTAAGCCACATTTTGCCACTGGCACATCTCAACCCCATCAAAGAGTAACCTTTCTGAACACTGCTGACTTTTGTAACCACACCATGTGTTCAGATGGAGTGAACACAAAGAAACTGCTGGGGCAGCATTTCAGCCCCTTCTTTTTACCCTTTGCGTTTCTGAGAGATGCTGGAGGAGAGCAGCTAATGGTCTCATGATCTGTGTGACTAGCTGCCTGCCTGCCTGGGAACTAGACTGATGCAAGAGCAGGGAAGAGGGGAGAGAGCTGCAGATGGGATGAGGACAAATAGACAGCTGTGGCCAGTACTTTGTCTGCCCTGGGCTGCAGTAGCAGTGCTGCCTTTGCAGCAGCTGTAGAGCAGTGAAGCATTTGCTCGTGTTCAGTTACATTACCAATGCCAAAGACTGGCAGAGTTACTGAAATGGAAAGGAGAGCCTGGTCACAGAGAAACCAAGTGCAAATATACTTAAATAAAAACCTGACTGCAGCGTTTCTCATGAGCTCTGTGCTAGCAGCTCCCCTTTTTCCAGGCTGACAGTTTGTAGCATTAGGTACTGGGCTAGAATCACACCTCCACTATCTTGCACTGATGAAAATCAATTATTACAGGTCATATTCTTCTGTCCATTGTGTGTGGGCCCATATCTGTCCTCCCGACCTCTGAACTGTTATTGTGTAGTGTAAAACTTTGCTTGCCTTTTCTTCTCGGGAGACACCTGAGCCTCCTCCAGCATCTGATTCTTTGGGCTGCATTTCCAAAACCGTCCGAAAAAGCCTGTCCGAAGTGACAGTCAGGAACCCAATTTCTGCATTGGGGTGAAGGCCGTACAAGTAGGGGCTCTCTGGTGGCAGGTTGTCATCGATGTACTCGTGATAACCCTAAGCACAGGGCAGGCGCTGACATTAGTTTAACAGATACGTACAAAGGAGCGTGAGTTTCACTTCAGCTTTGAAAATACATCATCGCTGTTTGGTGGTGGTGCTTCACAGCTAGCTGGCGTTGCTTATTCAAGATGTTTTTTTTACTCACGTCTTACCTAAGATTTTCCCTTACCACCCCAGCCACAGGAATTATTTTTGCAGCTATTCTCCATGTTTCCATGGGATTGAAACTTTTTTTCCCCTAAATTCCCTGCTGGTTAGCACGAGGGAACTCTGACTAGTGCACATTTATCCAGAGCAGTGGTTTTCCACAGCAAATTGCAGTGTTAATCTTTCTTACCTTGTAATCCAAGCTGGGAGGGATCAAAAACCCTGGAGCTAAGTACACTTCCCCTTCCAGCATCTCCGCACGGATGTATTCACTCAGGTAAGTCCGACACAGTCGGCGGTCCCAGTCGTCTGTGATATGCCCGCCGTACATGATTTCACCAAATAGGTACCGGAGATCATCCCATGGTACCTACAAGGAGAGGCTCACTGTGGGTTTTCTGTGTGGCTCCCCAGAAGTCCCCTGCAGCCTGGGGAAGCTGCACACAGCTGTAGAGCTGTGGGGCCACGGAGCAATGGCTCCTGGGTTGGTCCGTCCAGCATCTAGGGAAGTGACAGGCCCTGGACCCACAGAGGCTTGATGACAGAGTGAAGGGGAGCAAGGCAGGGGACCTTGTCTCAGGGGTCTCATGTTTGCCCACAGATTTCACCTTGTCCCAGTATGGACGCAGCCAGCCATACTTTGAATCCCCATCATCCCGTCTTTATTCAGATCAACATTGATCATGTCTGTGAAGCCAGGTGAAAGCAGGACTCTCCTAAAGGTGAGACCTCAAGCCTACTTGTTGCACCTTCATTCTTGGGGCAGGCTTTGTCTTTTAGGTGGAAAGTAATTAAAAAAACCCAACCCAAGAGAGCACCGAGGCATGAGCCAGGGCAGGCACTCCTCCCAGCCTGGTGCTGAACACCCGCTTTCCACCCAGCTTGGTTGCGCTGAGGACTATGCACCTTCACCTGCCAGAGTGTGCAGGCAGCTCCCCAGGGGAGGAGGGGAAGAGCTGCTGGCAACGCTGTGTTTCCTCAAAAGAAGGCATTTGTGCAGCAAACTGATGAATTTTTTGAAAAAGGTTGCTTGACAGTGTGATTGTGCTGAGGTATGATCACTTTGTAAGTCCCTTACCTTGGGGTTGGCCTCCAAGTAATTGTACAGGACATTAATCGATATGGTCAGGTCACCATTGTTGAAGGGGTAAGATCTGTTCCAGCCCTGAGTGCCAAACTTGCGTCGCTCAGCCACCACCGCGTGGAAGTAACAGAGCGCAAACAAGATGCATTTGAACTCAATTTCTTTGCTGCACATCTCCAACGTGTCCTGCAGTGGAATAAAATGAGAGTGGGTTTGCAACTGAATAAGTGAATATCACTAGCAGCCATCCCTCTATTGAAGAAAATTAACAGATGATGGCAAAGGAGAACTGAAGGTTGTTTATTAAAAAAAAAAAAAAGCGCATAAAATTATCTTTTAAAGATTTGCTAGTTGGTTAATTTTTGCACTCGTTTGTAAAAAAATTAGGAATACACATACACATATACAC